GCCGCCATGTGATTGGCTGATTAGAAATTAAGTGTTAACGAGCAGTTGGACAGGTGTACCTAATAAAGTGGCCGGTGAGTGTATTCTTTAGTTTTATAATGTCACTCACTGGCCATAAAGGTTCCTGAAAAGGCCTTGAAAAGGCCCGTGGACCAGCAGTATCTTGTTTTGCAGCTCTGGACACATTTCATTAGTGAGCCAAGGAGCAGAAATGTCTCTTGACAGTAAAGGCTGCAGACCTCTGGGTTAGAATATGCAGGTTCCTTTGCGTAATAACAAATTAACATTTCCAACGGGGGTTACAAGTTTTAAAACTGGGTGTTTTGGTCATAAAGAGCTTCCTTCCACGTGTGAAACTGGTTCCAGGAGTTTAAACAGAGACCTCTGTGGAATCTGAATATTGCTTTTATTTAAATACATTAAAATTTGCAAAGTAACAAAACTATTGGCATTATGAAATTCAAACACCAGTAAATGAACAAAACATGGCTCACTTCATTTTTCTGCCACTAGTGTCGGCAACACTAGGTTTATTTTCAACTCGCTGTTAAGCAACAACAAGCCCCGCCCCCCTACCCGACCAGAACCCTCCCCCATTTACACTGTTCACAGACTATCTTACAATAAGAGTGCTGAATAAAAATGAGGTAAGAAAGTGGTTTGAAGATTACAGATCATGCAGAACATGCTGAACAGCAACAAAAATCTCTCGTGAAGGAAGAAGTAACAAAAAATAAAAATAAAATAAAAAATACACGTGTGCATTTGCATCAAAAGTAATCAGTTTTACACAGCTTTGCATCTTTGGTTGACGTACGTTGTATGAATGATTTCACAGCTTCACGCCCCCCTCCTCCCACTCACCACTGGGAAAACCAGCGGAGGGAATAAAATGCGAGGAGGGTATGGTAATACTAATTCGCTTTAAGATCAACTAATTGAGCTTTCTTGAACAGAACAGCCCCGCCCCCCTCTGCTGGCTTCTATAAACATCTGATGTTGCCCGTCAAGGCTTGTAATACTTTATGCTGTACAAAAATTTACATTCAGTTGGGCTCAAGCTAATGAATTGGCAATCGCAGCGTAATATCGGAGTTAGTGTTGAACATTTGTCAGATTTTTTTTTAAACCACCACAGAGTGATGGACGTTTGGCCGATCTGTTAAAACACTGTAGAAGAAAAAAAGGAGACGGGCCACGGTTCAATAGAAATTGTTCATTCGTGAAAGTAGCAGCCCTGTAATAAATAAAACACTTATAACAGTAGAACTAAAAAAAAAGACAGATGCAAGAGTTGATGAGAAAGTAACGGCAGGGGTGTGGCGCTCCGAGAAAACAACAAAAAACAACAAAAAGACGCTCCCAGTTCTCAGATCACAACTTGAAACAACCAGACTAAAGAGACCCACCTACCCACGCCATGTCTTTAAAAAGAACTTACAAAAAACAAAAAAACACTTTCAACAATCACAGCGGTGTTCGTCCTCTACACACACCTGTGTGCAGCTCCTTTCAGCAGGTTTCAGGTCAAACTGGGAGGTTTGGTTTAGTTTAGAACAGATCCTAAAGATGAAACCAAGACCCCACAACCCACCCACAAGCTCCTCCACACTTACAAGTCCCTCAATGATTGCATTAACACTGGAAAGGCCCACAGTACAGATGCACACACACACACACACACACACACACTCATTCACTCTCTCTCACACACACACACACACACACTGTACTCTGTGGTCAAGCTGGTGGCTAAGGACAAAGTTTGTTTCTTCTGAATTTCACAAACACTAAATATGACGAGTTGTACGAGACGATGCTCTWCTGTGTGTCCGGTCCGGTGCAGGCCAGGTGCTCTTCAAGCTGAGGTGATGTTGGGTTGTTGTCCAGCATCCAGCTGAGTCTGGGACTGAGGCGTCTGAAGCTGCTGGGGTTTGGGGTGATGCTGCTGGAGCTGAGGGTGGCTGAGTCCCTGCTGTGGCGGCGTGGAGCCGGAGGAGGCGGGGATGGCGGCGGCGGCGGCGGTGGGCGTCTGGGTGGACATCTGAGACAGCTGCTCGCTGTTCAACAGAGACCTCAGCACGATGTTCTCCRGGTCCAAAACAGAGTTCCTCTCAGTCAGCTCCTTGATCTGCTCCTTCAAGACCTCCACCTCTTCACGCACCGCGTACATCAGATGGCTTTTCACCAGGTCCTGAGGAGAACAACACGGGTCAACACACACACAGACACACACACACAGATGACAGATCTGAGCCTTTAAAAGGGGACATATGAAGCTTTTAAATCCTCCTTTTTCACATTAAATCAATCAGTTGGAGTCTTTATACAGTAGAACTGCAACACTTTGGTCTGAATTCCTCTTTAAATGCAAACAAAGCACTTTAAACCCCGCCCCCCTCCAGGTGTGACCCCCAAAGATCATTGGCTGTGTCTCAATTCATGGGCTGGGCCACATGGGCGGTCCAAATGAGACGGTCTACTCTGTCTGACATCGGCTTCATGTGAGTTTGCGTGACCACGTGTCACCCCGTTACCATAGTGATCAGTTTCATGTCAGATTTAAAATGTGTCGGGACGAGTATTTACACGTCTTTTTACTGGAAGAATAACGTCAGTTAAAATGTTACATGTAAAAAAAAAAAAAATTAATAATTCAGGTTTAGCTTCAGTATCTACGACGGAGTATTAAAGGGATCCCCGATTAGTTGTAACATTAGACTTTATCTGATAAACATATATTTTAC